CCCAAAGGACTCTGATTCAATGTTCAAAACTGGGTTAACCCCTGTTAATACTAATGATCTTAACACTTGAGAATGGATCTGTAGAGAGAATTAAGCATATCATGAAACCAAGTGCTAAAACGATTAATAAACACGTGTACCGGAATATTCAAAGTATGTTATTCCCGTGTCTCGGTGACATGATAATGAAGTATTATTTATCATTATATTAGAGAGCTCAAGCAACAACGACAGCTAACAGTAAATTCGAGCTGTTTCCAATTTCATCACTATTACTCTTCCTCTTTCAATTTGTCAAATGTTGGCGAATTTTTTCGGAATTGAATTATAACTGGGCTGTATCTAATTTCAGAAAAAGAAAGAGAAAACCATTATATTGTGTTCGCGTCCTCCAAAAAACGAGAAGTTAGGAAGTTCCACGTTGCTGTCGTGCAACAACGGCAAGAAATGTACGAGAAAGCGTGATGCACGTGCAGAGTTGTTTTGCTAAAAAATCTAATCAAAATTTCCTATTGCCTTTTTGCCGTCCTCGTTGCGGTCGCTTTAGTCGTTGGTTAAGCCCCCTATAGTCGTGGATTAACAGCACAAGGCTTTTTAAAACATTTATTAGACTGATGACATGGCATTAGAATTTCGAAGTGAAATCAACAATCATAGTTTAACGCAGTTTACCTTGTCATCACATTTCACTCTAATCCTCAGGAAATATTGTCCACCTGGAATGACTACAGGTGCCACTTGCGAGAGATTTTCCTTTTGAACTACATCTAGCACCCATTCGCAATGCTTATTTGTTGCAAAAGCACAGAAAAATCCGAAAATGATGAGAGATAACGCCGAACACTTCCACAGCTCCATCTTGGCATCAAAGAGTTATATGTCTTTCAAACTCGTCTGCCTTACGCTATTTACCACGTTTATCGAGAAGAAACGCGGTATTGTCCGTTGCTGATCGTATGCAAGGTCAATCAGACACGTACAAATGCGATTTTTTTAGACTTTTTTTCTTTTTTTTCTGTTTTGTGTCGCCTCTTGCAGTTTTCCTCCCTGCCATGTGACAACCCTGGTGGCCAGTCCTCCCCGGATTCAAGCCGACAATGTCGTATGATTGTCACGCAATCCAAAATCAAGTTGTGTCACCTTGATAAAGCGTACAGCACTACCACCTTGGGAACAGAAGTAGTGGCTGTTATCAAGAGGTGGTCGTTGTAAGGTCTTGTAAGGTTGAAACCAGAGTCAAAATGTATGGATTATTTGCACCGTCGGGACAAAAGTACAGAGGTGGCCATTGTGGAGAGGTGGCCGCGCGTTTAATAGAGGAGGGTTTTTTCTAGCCCTTTAAAAAGAGACGAAAATCTAAGGAACCGGGATAATCAAGCCTGAGTTTCGCAAAATCAAAAATTAAATAATGATTGTTAAGAATATTGGGAAGATGATTTTATGATAAGATTTGGTGAGAGTTTATTTTTAATTTCTGTATATTGAGTGTTGTTCAGTGAAAATAAACCCGCAGAAATTTTGCAGGACCAGTAATAGCGTACTACTGATTCTCTTAACAATAATTTTTTTCACAATAAATTTTTTGAGGTGTCAGATTTATGGTGTCATGTAACTGACTCAACTATGTACAAGAAATCTTTGAAGATGAAATAACAACAAAAATCTTTAATTATTATAATTAACCTCAACTTAGGAAAAATAACTTATTCAAGGTAACTCGACCAGTATTTACAGTTTAGCCGTGTGCCCAACCATAAGATCAAAATCCATGGCGCGCCCTTACATTTCAACAGATCCCCCGTCGGCCACCTTGACATGACAACAAACTAGAATAAAACATGTTCCTATTACTAAGTAGACGATTGAAAAGTTCGCTTTCACGGAACAACTGCAAGTTGGTAAGAATCCGAATGCTGTGACTGCTTACATGATTGTCAAAAATGTTTGAGTAATAATTTATATCGTTTTACTGCACCAAGATATAACCCATTGCCTGTATATGCTTGTGGCCGTAGTCTGCTGAATCTATTGCCTCGTTTCCACATGTGTTAGAATTATCAGCTGGGGATCCTCCAGTACCAAGACCGATCCTAGAGTCACAGGTGGTGCAGTCGTCTTGTTCGTTACCAAGGATACCAATTCTTGCTTTGGAGTGATTATAACGACTCATGACGTTAAACCCTTCCAAGTTACATTTTTGTTGCAAGGAGGCCTCAGAACCAATCAGCGACTTCCACGTGTCACGACCTAGTGAGGTGCCGTGGTATTGCCCACCAGCGATCAGAGAGTACAAAGAGTTCGCCTGCTTGTTGATGACAATAAACCTGATCTGCTGACCGATCTTCATACCGAGGCAGATCTTGGAGAAGGATGTGTTCCAGTAGGAGGGAAGTTTGGTTTCCTGTGAGTCGAACCCAGTCTTCCCTCCGTCAAGGTTAAGGGTTTCTTTGTTTCTCCAGAGACTGGAATCGTAGTGAAACGTTCCCTGTAAGGATAGAAAAACTGGCATTAAAATGGGTCATGCGCAGTGGCGGATCTAAGG